CCCCAAAACCCCAAAACCCCAAAACCCCGAGTGAATTTTCAGACCTTGAAATACTATTATACTTAATAAGTCATCATTGTTAAAAGGCTTATTCAGAAATATTTATTTCATTTGGAGTTAAATCAGAAGCGTAGTTTCGACTCGTGCCTTCATATTTCTCCTCCTCAAAGACATTGATAGCTGTCCCTGGTTTACTTATTTTTGATTTCCTTGGAGTGTCATCTATTTTAGATGACGAGGATCTAACCCTCTTGTTTTTATCTTGAATAGTTGTGTCTTGAGATATTCTGGCCCGCTGCTTTGTTTTGCAATAACTTAAGAGTGTAACCACCATTACAAATATGTTAATGACTAATATCAACAAAGTGTTCAGAGTCATCACTGTGATAACAATGTTGGACAATGATTCATTCCAGTTGTCTTCGTTAGCTTGCACAACAATCACAATTCAGAGCCCTAGATATATGAGATCATCCAAGACTTCGATGATGTTGTCTTTAGGCTCCTCATAAAACCTGATTGCGACTTTGATGCAGACAAAGGCAAACTGAATTAGACAGTAGACTGTAGCTCTAGCAACAGCTCCAAAAGACACACTCATGACGATCCAGGTGACGCTGCAGAATATTCTGAGCAAGTGAAAGAAGGTGGCGAATCTGGCCCAGAACGTTTCTTTGGTGCCATCTACGATTTCAGAGAAGTAAGTAGTTTCTAGATTGATTTTGTCTTGAGCCGCTCTTCGAGAAATAATATATGCCAGCACCATCGTGAACGCCAACAATATCACAATAACTAGCGAGAGGCAATATGAGAGCACTTTGCCAGTAGATGAAAAATCAGAAAGATACACTTCGTTTGAACTTGCAAGATTTAATATCAGGAATGCCTCAACTAAATATCGGATGTAGAAATTCAAAGTCAAAAGTTTGAACAAATACCTAATTGGCCAAGAAAGTTTGGATTCGTATTTTCCGAACTTGATGTACAAAATTATGATAACCACATGCACAATCATTGCGAGCAAGAGTGACATAAAGAACTGGAACATACTCAGAAACAATCACTGGTACCTGATCCCAATGTCATACAGATACCCTGACTCAGATTTGCACTCCATCAGCTTTTCTGCCTCCACGAACACTGGGAAAGAGTCGAAGCTGATGAAATCGAGGTTGAACAGACAGAAGTCCATGCCTTCTAAGAACTCAGTGATTTTGTCAGGGACTGTAGAACTAAGTAGAGGAATCAACAGGTAGAATTGGAACTGGTGAATGATACTCCATAGTCCTTGAGGTCCTCCTTGCAAAGCAACTGTGCTAATGGTTGCGACCCCAGCAGTTGCTCCTACCATGGTAACAGTCGTTATTTCTGCAGATTGAGAAAATGAATCTGGCTGCAATTTGGTATCGTCTGCAGAAACTTGGGAAGATGAGCTCGTAGAACTACCTGAAGATGATTCAGGATCCACTGAGATGACTACTTGCCTCGAGTATGTACTTCCTCCGACTGTCGATTGAATATACACATTGTATGAAGTTGTGGTAGTCACATTAGGAGTGTTCATTGTCAATGTCTGAGCAGTCGAATCCAGAGTGACCCATGTAAGAGGTGATCCTCCACTTCCATCATCGAGCACATAAGTGATAGAAATTAAAGTACTGATGTAGCAAGTCAGGTAAATATTTAGTATATATTGAGTGTTGGCTGCTAGATTTGAATAAGTCAAAGTATCCAGGTAAATTGCAATGTTTCCAGATGTTGTTGAAACAAAAGGAAGAGATACATCAGTATTTCCAACAGCTCCAGAATCAGATATTGATCCCACGTTTACAAAAGTTGAAGTATTTGGTGTGAAAGTGTCTAAAAGATAATCAAATGCTGCAACTGAAAATGTAGACCCGGAAACAATGTCTGAGTTACTAGCTGGAGTTTTATGTAATGTTTTTATCCAATATCCTTTTGCTGTTGCTGAGTCATCAAAACCAAGAAGATACAAATAAGAGCTAGCCACAACTGCTCCTCCAAAATTGATCGATCCAGTATTTCGAAAAGATATCATAGTTCCTGAAGTTAAATTATAAACAGAGAGTTTCTCTGTACTTCAACTTGTCAAAATGAACACCTGGTCACTAGAGTAAGTAATATCATAAGCTGCAGTGCAGCTATCATTATCTATATATTGAGCTCCAAAAGAAGATCCATCACCGGAATTTAGGATTGTGAAAATAGCCACTGAGTTGTAAACATAAAGAGTGTATAAATAGCTTCTTGATTGGTCATGCTTCGCTACAGCTCCTTGTCCAACTCATCCTGATCCGGGACAGGCTATCTTCTTAGCCCAGACATGAGGATTAGATAAACTAAAATCAGATTTATGATAGTAAACATTCTCATCTGTACTTCCTTCCATCCCATAGTAGACACTGTTTGCATCAATTGCAATAGAGAAGTTAGGAATATAGTCCAAAGGAATGTGGGTTCATTGTAATGCTGAGGTTCCTCCTGGAAATTTTCAAAGAATTTTGTGACCTAACCCGTTCTCGGTTGCTGTAAAAATGAACCCTCCTCCACTTGCCATTGGGCTGATTCTTATGTTATCATTGTTTGTTGAAATATCTTTCACCGAAAGAATCCTATTGATAGCCCCTGTAGAACAGGCAGTTTCAATAAATGTTAGTAGGGGTTGAGAATATTCTCCAAAATAGAAATAAGTTTCTTGAGCATCTACCATAAACAGAAAACGGAAAGGATAGATTGGAGAATTAGAGGAGTAATACTTTGAATAAGTCTCAGTTCCATCTTGCTTAACTCTCTTTGCAAAAGTATAATTGTTAGATGGGTCTTGGGCCATCCCAAAAAGATATAGATCTCCAGAAGTTGGTCCTAAGTCCAGAACTGTCCCTATTACACCATTTGTAAATATGGCATTAGTGAATGAGGATGAGCTTGTTGCCTGAGAAATAGCAGCTGGGTCTGTACAGCTTCTGGTTCATGCTAATCCCACTAGAAAAGAGAAGAACAGAATTTTTTGTATTTCCATATGTAAATTTATATAAAATTTATAACTTTTCGATCCTAATAATTTCCTATGGGGTTTTGGGGTTTTGGGGTTTTGGGGTTTTGGGG